CTGTTGTTTATATACATCCGTGTACATAAACATTTGTGCAACAGAAAATTTAATAGGATTTCTCTCTTGGTATTTAGAATTTTAAAATTTTGACAAGATTCTGATAGTTTTCGTTGATCTGATAGTATCTCTAGGATGATGCTTTGCTAGATCCTGATATCCTCATCTAGGATCCAGAAGAATAATCACCTAGATGACCAGCTTAATCAACTGGTTAATTTCATAAATTTCTGTAGTATGCTTACCTTGATCCGAATTTGAAGCAAGTTTCTTAAATGATAATTTTTCTGGGCCTTCACAAGTGATTTTGTTTCAATACCACCTCTTCTCAAAGACTACATAAATTTCTTTTCCCTTTACTGAAAGGAATATATACCCGTTTGCTGTTTCTGCATAATATTTCGAAAGAATGATTGGTTTGGTAAAAATTTAGATCAAGTAATAGCTGCCAATACATAATTAACCTTTGTTATTCATATAATTCTTGTTTGGTATAAGCTGAACTAATAGGTCTAACCAAACATAATAATCTCGTCTTTCTTGCCCATTATCCTAAAAAACCAGCAAAGGGGTTCCTTAATCCATCTCCCCCACTACTGGTTACTGCTGTCTCCATGTTTCATGTCCATCAATAAACTTATTAGCACAGGATAAAGAAGAAATTAAAGGTGAAATTACTGCCGTGATTAATTGAAAGACATGTAAGAATTTTGAAGGAAGAAAATCGAAACAGATGAACAAGTTGGGACGCATAAAAAGTATTTCTGTTGAGATGAAGGATGTATATGTGATGTGGGGCAAGGGCAGCCTTTTCAGGTCACAACCAAGTGACCTTATGCTGCCTGGGGAAAGCTACAGGGTTTGAGGATACCAGGAGAGGGGTTGCGTAAATTCTGAATGATATGAGAAGCGATCTAGATTAACAGTTAAATGCATAATATCCACTTATATGTTAAGCTTATTAAACTAAGAACTCCAAGCTTTCTGTTAGCTTATCCGCCTCTCCTTAGAAAAAACAATTAATTTGGGGTTTTGAGCCCTCTCCTAGTGGTTTCTTATATGATGCATTCAAGTTAACCCACTATTTGGTTTTGTTTATTGGTGAAGTTCTGATCCGCCACCTCTGGATAATCTTGATGTGACTGGCTGGCTTAGATGCTCAAAGACTTATGTTTCATGTTAGTTCATAGTAATACTTTGACAAAAGCATCTGGCCTCCCTTTGCCAAACCTAATTATTATGAAGCCAAGCAGATTTAGATTCTTCAGAGCTCATGATCACCATATTGCAGTTTCTTTGTAAGAGCTCCTGGGATCGTCAAAGTTTGCCTGGTTCCTCTAGGATTGCCTAATTTTCCTAGGTTTATCTCATGCTTGATTGACACTATTCTTAACCTACCTCTAATCTATTATTATCTGTGATGCTGTTGTAATTACTGATACTTCAGGAGAATGGGCACATTCATTAAATGTAATGCAATCTCCATGATTGGTATTTCAGACATTATCAGCTCCTGATCTGCGTGATCCAGAGATATCTTCCTTGATAGCTGCCAAAATGAGAGAATTTCATGTGCTTGATATGCCTGGTCCTAAGACCGTCATCCTCTGGGATAGACTGCAGTATGCTCTTCTTTTTACTGTATATATGATAAATAAAAACTGCTAAATTATGTTTATCTTATACCAAAATGTCTAAATAACCTTTTGTTCTCGTATTGCTCTAGAAATTGGCTTAATGTAGCCAAAGGTCTGGCTTCTACTGAAGAAGCTAAGGACTTTAAGTTGGACCTTCTAAAAGATGAGATTGTATTGTTGGAAAAGAATCTTGCTGGCAATCATCTAAGCACGGGATGCTGCCACAACGACTTGCAGTATGGGAACATAATGATGGATGAAGAGACAAGATCAATAACCTTTATTGTAAGTACTAAGTTTTTTATTCATCAATGTTCAGATGAAAAACTAAGAGGACAAATACAATTTACTAAATGAGATGCATATCTCACTAAATTTTAGCTATAGCAGTGTCTGCATGTGGTGATTACATCTAAATCTAATTTGGGCTTCCATGATCAATAACTAGGCAGTGCTTTATCCTGACATGTTTGCTGCAGGATGTAGGTGGGTCCTGGTTCAAAAACTTCTTCAAGCTCTTACTTATTTAGGAGCTGCACTTTTGTTTCTCGCCTTTGTATTTTGTTTCAGTTATTGATCATCCACTTGATAAGGAGCAAAAGGATAAGATAAATATTTGAAAAACCTAAACATTTCAAGAAAAATTGACGGACTTTTCAATGATAAGTTCTGTTTCCTGCTAGGTTGGCAATTGCCTAATTTCTGCAAATAATTCTTGCTGTTCATACAGTTATTATTTGGACTTAATTTCTGGTATTTTCTTTAATCTTTCCTATTAACAGGACTATGAATATGCTGGTTACAACCATGTTGCATTTGATATAGCAAATCATTTTTGTGAAATGGTTGCTGACTACCATACAGAAACACCTCATATTATGGACTTCAGAAAGTATCCTGGTGAGTCAGTCACTAGTAAATCATCTTAAGCAAATCTGTTTTGTTGATCTGATTCCCTGAAATGGCACGAGCAAGTACTTCCTGGATATTTATGTTAAATCTAATTAAACCCCTTACAACATGTGGCAGGTCTGGAGGAGCGTAAAAGATTTTTGAGTACATATCTTTTTAGTTCAGGTAGATGAATACTTGCATCTTCTATGATTTATCATATGTGGAACCATTCATATTTCATGATGGTGCTTTCTTAAGCTCATATCTGTATACCAAGAGTAGTAACAACTATATAAATTTAGTTAATCTCTAGATTTCGATCATTATTTATCTTTATTTCATTACGAATCTCAGATGTATTGGTCTGGTAAACAGGTCGCTCTCCCAGTGAACCGGAACTGGAGAAATTAGTTCAAGAAGTGGAGAAGTATACTCTTGCCAGTCATCTTTTTTGGGGTCTATGGGGAATAATATCGGTACTTCTCCTGACCTTATATATTCTGTCATGATAAGAGTAGTTATGAGCTGCGTACACAAAAAGAACAGTGAATAGTCTAAGTAGGAACTTGGAACTACCTAGTCTTTAACTGTAGAAAACTTTATATTGAAAGTCCGTCAACAATTAATAGATACATGGTTTGCCGCATTTTGTGCCCAAGCCATAACAGATTTGGCTCTTTTTCTACCTTTTTTGCCTTCGACAACAATGTTGTTATTGAGCTGCATAGGCCTTTCTTAACATCCTTCATTTCCTCCCCTTTTTCAGCATCATGTCAATAAGATAGACTTCGATTACTTGGGGTATGCTAGGCAGAGGTTCCAGCCATATTGGTCGAAGAAATCTGAGCTATTGGGATCATCAGGTTCCAAGAAAGGTACTTCAATTATTTTGTTCAATTCCTTTTCCTTAAACAAGTCTATTTGAAGTTTTGAGTTTGGGGTTTCTTAACTGAGCACTTTGGCCTTGCAGGTTAATATGAAAGCAATGACTTCTTGATCCATTTGTTTGATTTACAGAGTAGTAGTAGTTGTTATCCGTTGGGGTTTTGCTTCAACAAGTACTTTTTTTTAAACTTCCGAAAACCGAGAGTCTTGATGGAATTTTTCTGGTGATGAAGTTTATTATCTAAATCTAGGATTAGATCATCAAGTGTATTAGCATTTCTGTCAATTTTGCCTCCTTTTCTTGTGTAAATCTCTACAGAGGTGCTGGTTTTATTTTTGTTTTTACCTGAAATAATGCAGATGCAAGTCTATTTGTTTATTTGAAAGATCATACAGTGAAAGTAAATAAAGATCTAATGGTTTTTTCTTGGATGAAATTTGTTACAGATAGTAACTAATTGGAGATTTAGCGTTGCACAGTAACTTTTAGTCAGTTCAAATATTATATTCCCTTTCATCTTTTCTGGAAATATTATATTTTACATCAGCAAATTATGATCAAAATTAACTAAGTAGATCCTTGAACCTCCAGTTCTTGACTGGATAGGATCAGTTTGGGTATGTAGAGTTTCATTAGAATTTACGGTTCTAACCTTGCAAAATAATAAATATAATTTGCCTAGCAAAATAATAATAATTTGCGGTTCAACCTTGCGAAATAATAAAGATGAATGGTGCTATATCGCTTTGGTGTCCTACCATGAGATTTATATCGCGAGGTGTTAAGATAAAAATGTTAAATCAATATTGGTATCTTAATTGTGCCCTCACTGAGATGACATTATCTCAATGATGTCCTCACTAAGATTTGAAACACTTTAGATACATGTTCTGAAAGTGAGGCTTAGTTTGAAGCAGATTTCAATGTCATAACTTTTGTCTTCCTTGCTCGCTCTGTTTTTATTATTGAAAATTTAGATTTATATATACTTCTACTTTTGCCTTCCTTGCTCGCTTTGTTTTTATTATTGAAAATTTAGATTTATATATACTCTGCATATGCTTCTTGTGTGTTTGTTGGAGTTCAATGTGTAACTAAAAACAGTTACAATTATTACGTTAATTTCCAAACAAGTAAGGTTAACTAGTATGAATCTTCGCATATCATATCGCTCTATTTAATCTCATCTAAGATTCATATACGTAAACACGATATAGTCCTAACTCCCAACAAAAGCAAAGTATCGGTGGATACTGCGCTCACACCTCTATCCTTCTCCACTTAAATATCAGGCTCACACCTGCAACCTAAGTCACAAATCCTCCGCCTTTTACCACTCGAGCTAGGCCTCGAGGCATGAAGTAATGTTCATGTATTGAATGACGAGTAAACCAAAAATAATAAATACGTCTCAGTCTCAAATAAGACGATATCAGTTATCATGACACTAGGAATACCAACATTGGGTCTATTTAGAATGAAACTATAACAGAAAAAAGAACAAGGAAACATTTTTAACAACATAACAACTTATTTCAGGAAATTGAGATTTTTCCTTTTAAACTTTTTTTTTCCTCTGTAACTAAAACTTAAAAAACTTTTTTTTTTCTAGTTATATCAAAAGAAAGTAATATTCATTTGTTCTTTTGCAGCCTATTCAAAAGCAAAAAACTTTTACTTCTATATATCATGAGCAACCGCGTAACTAACATCTCCTACGCGGCGCTCAACCCTTCCCCCTCCCTCCTCCTTATGTTAATATTTTCAAAAGAATTAAGCTGATGAAGACAGCCTAACTAAGACCAAAGAATGAGAGATCCCAAAAACTTACACTTTCCTCAGGATCTCTTGACTCAATGTTGCAAATGCTATTCTCCACTCAGGGCTCGTCGATCCACTGCACAAGATCTTGTGCATTATTCTCAGTTCTTCTGGATCTGCTTTATTCAGAAGCCTCCTAAGTACTAATTGTAACTCGGTGTTAGATGAACTATAGTTAGCATGTTCCTCCTCAGTAGCCACCTTGGTTCCCGAACACTGACCTCTTTCCATCACAGCAGATCTTGCCATGTCAACAGTACTCTCCGATGAACCTGAAGGCCCTTTGACAGTTACACACTCGTCCTTGAGTTTTAGCTTGTTTTTCCAGTACTCCAGACATTGATAGTTTGTATCAAGAGCTTCAATGGACTGTATACACCAGAGTTAGCACAATGTAAGAATAATTCACTTGGAAGGAAGTGTTTTACTTATTGAAAGAGTCAGAAATAAGAAAGCTGCATAAGAAGAGAGTCTTCTCAACAACGAAGAATGGATCCTAGGTTTCAAATAAGAAATGTGCGTAAGAATGTAAAACTTAAGTTGATGACAATAAGGTGATTCCGCTAATAAACCAATTACAAGATCACAAGATAGAAACCTATTGTCCTTAGTGGGATCCATTTTTTCTGGAAATGTCGCATTAATCCAAAATCGCAGGTCAGATTATTCGTTGGTCAAACTAAAGCCAGTAAATCACAAACTTGAAAGAGCAAAATCATGCACACAGCAACATAATATAGGTATACCTGAACTATCGGTGGGGAGAGTAACCCAAACATTCCGAGACCGTTGATGCATTCTGTGTCAGGTTGCAATGGTGGCAAATCTTGCCTTCCTGGATTTAACTTCGTTGCTAGTTCTTCAAAGACTCTATGCGAGATCATTTCCCAGCATTTCTGCGCTGATGAACTCACTAAGTTCGTATCTGGACACTCTTCTAAGCTAACCTGAAATCAGAAACTCCAAGTAGACAATAATTAGCATCCAGCAAATTCATAGAAACTAGAATCAAGTAGACAATCGTCATTTGCAAGGCCACTAACGAAAATTAAAAGGCAGAAGGCAAGGCGACAGCCACAATAATAAAATTTAAAAGCAGCACAATTGCAAATAGTTCGTGCATAACAGGCCTAAAGGTTCTTTTGTATGAGCTCATAAACATGAAAAATTATTAACGAGAAGACTTAGAAAGGGTTAGTGGTGGACTAAGTTTTGGAGATCAAGTGCTAGATTCTTAGCTGCGACAAATAAAGTAAATGTACCTCCTCTGCACACAAAATAATATGAATTTTTCCTTACACAAACCCCTATGCAAAAATAATGAGAATAACTCACATATTTTTCTTCCAAGTACTAGCATAAAATAACAGTAATCCTCATTATCCATTTTTTTTCTCAACTCGCATATTTTATCGGGCAAAGTTATGAATAACATCTTACCTTGAATAGAGGTCCAATGAGCCCACCATTCAGGATCTCGCATATATAGCTACTAGTTATCTCAGGACTGCTGGCATCGAAGAACTTAACACGACTTCTAAATCCTGTTAAAGAGCATCAACATTGAAATATACAGTGAGACCATTGCAATTTGAATAAAATGTTGCATCAAATGAAAATTTCTTAGTATGAAAAGTATATTCAACAAACCTATGGGGAATATTGCCTGCTTACTGCACCAAAGCTTTCCTGAGGCGATTGACCCTAACTTTAGAGGGTCAACATGGTACAAAAGCGTTCGTTCTGAAACCTTGGTGCTCAGGGGATCTATTTCTGAGTCAAATGTTCCGTTTTGTTGAACACTAGGAGAACCCCTGGAAAGATCAACCCCAAATAACTTCTTGCCACTACTGTGATTCGAAGCATACGAGGTGGTTGCATCATCAGAGCATGAGCTGCACTGCTTCTTTGGATTATGAGTTTGTTCTCTCAACAAACCTGATAAGCTATCATTTTTCATCGAGGGATCCGTTTCAAATCCATCCCTCTCTGAATCCTGCTTCACAGAGTTATGCTGCCTCCTATTTAAAGAAAAATTATCAGGATCCTTGGAAGTCCATTGTTCAATGGCATCCAATTTCCCCTCCAATGCTTGTACCAGTGTGTTCAGTTCATCCCTGTTGTAACGGACGAGAACAGTCTTGTTCTCTGGTTCGCAGGAGCACATTAGATTGGAGTGTTTAAGGCATGAAAACTGTCCCGGGGAACATTGGCATTTAACTGCGGACAGATGCAGGTCGTAAAAGCAGGAAAAGCATTCCTGCTCATCTTTCAAGCCAAAATCTTTGTCCATTGTCTGAAGTTGTACAAGCGGTAAAAGACGCTTCAGTCTTTCCTCCTCCATTTCAATTCTTCCCTATAAGTAAGAAGAAAAACAAATTACTAAAACAATATGAGCTTCTTTTTCACTTCTAAGTATATGAAATTTTTGTAATATTGCATCCATACATCCTTAAGTATTTAATTCTATGATAAGAAATCAATATTTAACACACCTTGCTGACTGGTCAGTTCTTATTCCTTTAAGATGGCACTCTTAAAGTCGAGGGTACTTAATCATATTCTAACATGTGTTGTTTTTTTAAGGGATGTGCCCACAATTACCAAAAAAATCGCATTGAAGTGATTGAAGTTATTATTCTACTTGTAAAATAAACAAAACAGTTACCACAGTTCTACCTCTCCTTTCTTATCCTATGTTATTGTTGGTAAGTGTCAAAAGCGGAGGTGAATTCTGTACTTCAACCCAAACAAAATTTCATTTTGATAAAGAACTCAAATACAAGTTTACTTGTACCTGATAATGGAAAGTATAATCTTTTTTGCTCGGAGGACAACAGAAAATTTCAAATGAAAACTAAAAGTACATCTAAGGGAGTTTATGCTGTACATACTTGGACCGGGAGGGCAGAACCTTACAACACCTTAGTAAAAATTATCCCTAAAGTGTGAAGATACCTAATCTATGGAGTCAAACCACAATGACAGATGAATTCAAATGCACAACCATATGTTTTGACAGACGTATTCAGAAATTTACCTTTATAGCTTTAGTAAGCATGCCGTCCTTCCCACAGAAACTTCTCCATCTCAAGTTTATACTGTTAATATTCTCAACAGCTGAGAGCTCCCACAGTGCTCGGATGGCTTCACTAGCTGCTCCTATAAGCAACTTATCATGTGAAAGCGAGGTTTTACGACATTGCTTACTGTAGAGCTCCACAGCAGTTAGTCCATGCTCTAACCAATCAACAGGGCCTAGATTAACAGCCTCTGCGCAGTTGAACCCACAGTTAAATCCAGAATGATAGGCTCTTGGGAACGTGAGCACAAACTCCCCTGCGTTCTGAACAGCGCGGTACACTGGTACACCCTCTGACTTCAAAACTGAAGGAGACAACTGAGTCACCTGAAAGAGAGAATAATAAGTTTGACAGGAGCATGGACGCAAATTATACCATTCAAACAATCAAGAAATTGCCAATGCACTGGAAATAGATTAGTGGACTGAAGGGAGACGGATTAACACAAGAAAAGAATATTGATGGCCATTGGTACAATTTACAGTTAAAATTATCAGAATAGAATGTCAGGTGTTTCACATGTGATGAGCCAAAAATTATGTTACAATATTCACATTGGTAAGTTGATGAGCAGACTTGAAAATTAGGTGAAGTTTATTGATAAGGAAAAGGGACTTGTAAGTTGAAAACAGTAACTCGTAACCAGATGAGGTTGATAAACAGAAAAAGGAGCTTGCACAGCTTATCATTGCCCGATTTAGTTGACTAGAACCTATAAAAGTCTATGTAGATGTGATTATTTCTCAAATACAATAAGGATGAGTAGTGCTTGATCAAGATTTAACTTGTATACTTACTAGTTCGTGAAGCAAATCAGGTTGTTCCTCAAACAGATCTGGCAAATGCTTTCTCATTGCATCCTCCAGGGCTGCAGCATGACTTCCTGGCACTCCATACCAAATCTTCGGTTCACCCCAATGCATATAATTCAGAGAATAAAGATGGTGGTCCTCAACATGCTTTAAGAAATCAGATTAAAGGATTTAAGTATATAGCAAATATAAAGCAAATAACTTGATCTAATAATAATGAAAGAAACCAAGAAAAGAAAGAGAAAGAAAGGGGGGGAAAGAAAGATAGACCTATGACCCAAGATGTTCCCTCAAAAAATAGCCGTCAGTAACAATAAATACTTGGAGACAAAGGATCAATACTATTTAGGTTTATATGTATAGGATGCAACAAAGGAAGAACTCATAAATGCACAGAGTTTGCTATCTTCGATAAGTTCAATTGGTCAACTATGCATTAAGATTAAGCTGAATGCTTAAATAAAAAAGTTTTCATGACATACCCAACAAAATGATGAGAAGCACATTCCAATATACAGCCATGGGACTAGAACTCCTGAGATATTGTTCTCCTCAAAGCACAATACAGAACACGGCAGGCGCGGTAAGTTGTTTAAGTTCCAACCAGAAGTCGCATACTGATCTAAAGTACTAGATTTTGGAGATGAAGATTCAAGAGGGAATCCACTGCCAAATACTCCAGTTTCCAGATCAGCTCCATATAACACCTATTCATCAGAGGAAGGCCAAACATTTAGTCTTATCCAACCAGTGAGCATGTAATAGATATATCAAAAGACAAAGTAAATATCAAACTAGATTTCCTTACCTCAACTTCATCTGTTGGATTCTCAACGATGCGCCAATACTCACCTTCAATTTCTTCAATGGAGGGTTTCCAAACCTCAGTATCCTTCATCCTAAAATATAACTCTTTAAAATCTTTGGAAAATGTCTGAAATTCCTCAAATGTGAAGTCAGATCCTGACTGAAACCCAAACTTGTCATCACTACTGTCTGAATGAGTATTTGATTCAGAACCTAGAGATCTAGGTTGTCTCCTTGTTGATCCTGTCTTTGAGTGCAATCGTCTTTTCCTCTTCCTGGTTTTTTTCTTTTTCATGGGCTCCCTATTCTGAAGTAAATCAACTTGCTGGATTCGAGTCGAGAACTTAGCACATTCCCACACATTCTTCTCTCTAAGTGGACAGGGTGGACTCCAAGAAGCAGGTGGTATAATCTTGCATATACCATATTTCTGTGCGTTGTGGCGAATGCTTGCAATATAACCAAGTGGATCTTTGAACTCCTATAATTTAACCACAGGATGAGCTTAACCACTGGCTTTATGCAATCAAAAGAGAATATAATAACTCTTTAATGTGACAATTACCTCATCATTTGGATAGTACACGGGAGCTTCCTCTAAGATGGGCCTACGTGCTTCACCAGGACTCCATATTGCTGATTCCTGTTCCAGAACAAGAAAGCACTGTTTATGTAGAGAGAGAGAGAGAGATCATTTGACTGCCAGGATAAGGGTGAAATAAACTATTGAAAACTTACCACTTACCCACCCCACCTCCCTAATCCCCAACCCTGCTCACCTCGTGGAAAAACGCATTAGACAGCAATGGAATCATACTTAAAATAGAGGTTAGAAATTAAACTAAAATTTTGATGAGTTAATTATCAAAGTGGATTATCAACATCCAGCAGATGCCAAGAAATGAGAACACATACACGAATATGTTGCCTAAGACATCAAATGTGGAGAATGGGAACGTTTTTATACTCATAGATTACTAATCATATTTCTGCAAGCCACACGATGATGAAACCACATTGAGAAGGACTTATAGATATGTCATTTTTACCTTCCGCCTACGAGAGCTTCCTGAACATTCAATGTTATTTTCACCTTTTGGAGCCTGTCTAGAAGGATGTCCCTGCAAGAGAAGGCAAAAGAATTAAATTTGAATCAGATGAATGAATTCAGTCTTGAAATGAGTTCTTCTTAAGAATCAAATGTGATTTCTACTTGAGAAATTTCCTTTTAGTCAAAAAGCATTAAAAAATAAATCGTTTCAAATTTGTTTAGCTATGCCTTGAAGCATGTAAGATCTTGCCAGTACGGAGTACAATATAAAACTGTGTAGGACGAGAGCAAATGAATAAAAATGGATATACAAGTGTACATGTTATCAGTCAGACACCTAGCCTAAATATTCATGAAATAACTATGATGGGGTCTTTGTAAAGGCAAACAAAAGAATAATGGAAATTCTGCAAAAGGTGGAACCTTTTGTAACGTACAGGTATGTATCTTAATTTCTTTTTGCTGCGATGGCATTCACTCATTCATCACTTTACGGGATATCATTGGATCACACAACCTCTTATCAGTTAAATACCAGTTATGCTTGCTGGGAGAGGAGACCTTTTCAAAGATTTTCCCTAATTTCACCTTAGTAATATTTATTAGATGATCTGTCCCAGTGACTAAGTACGGACCAGTTCATAAGTTAAATCTAGTTCCACAAAAGCTCCCTATCCTCTGAAGGGATTAATCCCATGGTTTCTTTTCTAATCATAAGTTCCTACCTAGTTGAGGGATCAAAAGAACAAGAAAACATGAATACAGTTTACTGCAAGATATGACAAAGCACTTAAAAGTTTTAAGAGATACAGTTTATTAACGAAATGGATCTTGGGCCTAACTCAACCCAAAAACTAGCTCAAGAGGTGAGCATTGCCCAAGCCATATAAAGAGACTACCCGTCCCTTGTTCATCAGATGTGGGACTTTTCAACACCCCGTCACAGACAAGAGCGGGAATCTGAACAATGGGTTATTTAACATGGGGGTCCAACATCGGAAAACTGATACCATGTTAAAGAAATGGATTTTCGGTCCAATTCCACCTTAAAAATAAGCTCAAGAGGTGAGGACTACCTAAGCTATGTAAAGAGACCACCCATCCCTTTTTCATCCTATGTTGCAACAACCCCACGCACAGGACTTGCATATCTGGAATGTGGACAATTTAATGAGGCCTAACATCGAGAAACAAGAATCACTACAAAAAACAGGTCAAAAACTGACGGACTTGACTCCCGTAATTTCTCAACTTGATTTTTAATCGAGGACATCCATTGGTTTTCTTAAATTAAAAATTAATATAATTTTATTTTAAAAAATGACTGATCGGAAATACATACATATATATATATATATTGGAACAATTTTACCACTACACCATACATGCTCTTAGATGACATACTTCTATTGTTTTTAATTTGTACTCCAAAACTGCAATTTTGCACTTAATAATCGACAGAGTCCCTCAATTTTTGCAAATAAAAAATAAAAAATCAAGGCTCTCTGACAGAAAATAAACGGACATCTGTTGGTTTTATTTAAAAAATTAAAATTAATTTTTTTTAATTGAAAAACAGACAGAGTCCGTCGACTTTTATCTTTTTTTAAAGTAGTGGATTGAGATTGGTCCTACTATGATACCATGGAAATGGATCTTGGCCCTAAATCAACCACAACCATATGAAAAGACCACTAATCCCTTTTATACCCAATGTAGGAATCTTCAACACCCTCACTAGTTCAAAAGGAAATCCCGACAAAGCGTTTAGGGCCATCTTACATCCCAAAATGTTTTTTTTAACTTGCGTGCAGTTTAATTAGTCCTCGAGATATCCAATTCTTTCTTTACAAATCACTCAATCACATAAACCGAGATCTAAACAAGTACAGATCTTAACTACACATATAGGGTAAAGGAGACGTGATATATCCAAGAAGAAGATAGATACGGGAAAGAAATTAACGCTTCAAAATCAGTCAAAATACAAAAACAAATTAAAAATCAAAGTCGAAATTCAAACCTTCATGCTCCTTTTTCAGATTGCACGCCAATGCACAGAACCTAATTTTATGCCTGAAGGATGGTGTAACCTCGCTCTGAAGATGACAAATCCACAGTTTATGGAATTCAGAAATTTGTATTGATGATACAGATAACAATTTTCAACTGTCAACACAGAAAAACGACAAGGTAAGGAAAAACGGAAGATAATTGATATAAATGACCATTTTACGAGAATCTTCCAAGGATTACCGCTAACTTAAATAAACAGGTAGTGGAAGAGAAAACAAATTTATTCAATGCATGAACTATTATTTACATCTCCCTTAGTAATTCAAGATACTGAAAATTTCTCATTTTGCATTTTTAGGGAATATACTTGGCCGTGCAGGTAGCGTGCCTTGGCCGTGTGCCACCCACGTTCTCTTTATATCAATATATTGACCAGTATTTCAAAATTTAATGGTGATTTAATATTCAATGGAAACACGTACTTATAGAATGGAAATTCTATGCCTTCAATGCATTTAGAAGTGAATTCTGAATTCTCCAAATCAATCATACAAATCTTAAATGCTACCTTTGTGCAGTTTAGCTACGTTAATTAGTGATTACACCTCCTGCGCCAAATAAGATTAATGACCTAATTCTGACTAAGCTACTCGCGATCTCTCACCGCTTTCAAGTTCCTAGGGAAGGGACTTAGGATAGACAGGCAAAACCGTGCATCAAAACCATTAATCCTAAGTTGACCTAATCGGGATTGTTGAAGCTAGAATCCATTAACTCGAGTAAATTCTTCAGAGGACACAAAATGCATCAAAATACAAGCAGTTCTCTTATATGGCAATACTAGATTGGCGAGACAAGAGAGGAAGCTTAGAAAGTAGTAAGGTGTCAATGGCGCTTGCCTAACAGGTAATGACTATATACCACTTATATATCGAACATATCTTCACACTCAATGGAGTCATTTCGATACACCCTAGAAGAAACTTACAAAATACCAAACATGGATAATCCGTAGCAGAATGATTGTCTAGATCATTAACTTCAGTACGGAAGAACCCCTATACGAAGAAGCCAAAAGAGAGTTCAAACATCTATATAAAAAAACAAAATTTTTATCATACATAAAAATATAAATTTAACCATGAATAAACCGTGAAAGTTTCTGTCAAACCCCCTCGGCCCTACCAAACTCCGCCCCTGACCCCACCCCCACCACAAACACCACAAAAAAACAGAACTTTTCTGTACAAACTTCAGGAAAATGGCATTTTAAATCACAAATATTACAATGCATTTAACAAAATGAAAGACAATTAAACAATGCAATAAACACAGATTAAATACAAAAGATTGAAGCTTTATACCTCCAAGATCATAAAAAAAAAATCAGCTAACTGAAACTCTAATCACTGATTTAATCCAATTCAACCCTAAATTAACCAAACCTGCAAAGACAACAAATTCAGTCAAAATTCATTAAAACAACATTCTTGAATTTAATATGCATTATTCATTCAAACTGCAAAAAAAAAACTATAAACAGAAAAATAAATATATTAACAGAAAACCCCAAAATTAAAAAAAAAAACAGAGAAGCAATTATATACCAAATTAAACCCTCTCTGTAATCAATGATTCACGTAAGCAAATTCTTGTACTCACAGAATCAAAGAACAAATTATTCAGACCTCAAATTTCACCAAATTAAATTCCAAACAAAATTAAAAAAAGAAGAAGAAAAAAATCAAATCTTTTTTACTTAAATCTAATAAAGGATATAAAATCAATAGGTAAAAATCAAATCTTGGAAAACTGGGTAAATTTAAGGAATAGTTACAAAATACCCAAAAACAAAAAAAAAAAATATGAATAGGAAAGACTCAACAAATTCAAATAAATTTTTAAAAAATTATAATAAAATCAAGAAATCCCCAAAAAGACACCAATTTTTATATATTTATAAATATATCTTCATGGTCTTTTTTTTTTTTTACTAAACACATACTACGTGATGTACATTACATAACAAGAAAGCCCCAGACTGAAGAAAAGAATAACAAAAAAAAATATAAAAATAAAATTACCTCAAAAATAACAGTTCCTTAATTCCTCTAATGGAGTTAATAAAATATTGAGTATTTGACTTTTTATAGTTTATAGTTTATATTTATAGTAATTAATAAAATGTCTATCCAACTTATACTTTAATTGGGAAAAGATTATTCATTATTTATAGTTAAAAAAAAACTATATTTATTATTTTTTCCGGAAAAGGAATTATATTGCTGCTTATAAATTATATTATCAGTTCAAGAAAGTATTTAAGATTATTCTATTTTTAAATAAATAATTTAACACAAAAAAATATAATATTTAAATTTGAAAATATATATATTAAAAAAAAAACGAGTAATTTGGATCTTGAAAGAGAGAGACTATTGAAAACGTGTTTCTGTTTTTATCAGTCAGAGAAAGAAAAATTGTGCGTTGAGAAGTGAATGGCTAAACTTATGTGGAAAAATTCCATTTCTTTTTCCTTTTTATTTTTTTCAAGTCAAACTTCGTATTAAAATACGTGGTGTAATTTTAACTTATCGAAGAGATGATCTTAAATAAGAAATTGTGAAGCGTGTAAAATATGATAGGAGGTTAGTTGGTAATAGTATGTTGTTTTAATTTATATTCGTGCGTAATTTTATTACTTTTGCTTTTTTTTAATCCTTCTTTTAGACTGTTTTTGGATTGATTTTTCTTGAATTGATTATCTATAAAAATAATAATCTATCTCTACAGTAAAGATAATGTGTGTGTGCGTACGTACGTGCGTACACCGTGTATTATATTCTCCTCAAACTTCACTTTATAAATCTATATTAAGTCTATTATTATCGTTTTTAATGTAAAAAAAAGTATTTACGAAAAAGATAAAACTGCTCAGCTTTAATTTGAAGTAAAAGCTCAAAAACTGTTCTATTACTTTTTATTTGTTCCTTTTCTAGACTGTTTTGAATTGTTTTTTCTTGAATTGATTATCTATCAAATATAACAATTTTAATTCTATAATAAAAGTAAGGTGTGCGTGCGAACCTCGTGCTTTATATCCTCCTCAAATTTCATTTTATGTAAGTACACTAAGGAAAAATTAAAATTATTTGGCCGTGAAGTATATATATATAGATATATATTATTTTTAAGGCAAGATTAACTTTATAAAAAAATGTACAACAACAATAAGAACATATATATCTAGTGCAGTCTCCTACACTAAAATTTATATTAAAAATATATATTCATCAAATTACAATTAACAATAACTTTATTTCAAATAATTTAACTCTTCAATAAATATTTTAATTAGTATTTTTGAGAAGTTAGAACAAAATATTCCTATTAGATGGACATCTTTTTGCTGCAAATTAGAGCCAAAGACAAGTAGCATTTGACCATGACAATTTTCTTTGAATACCTTTTCAGTCAAGCTTGATAAAAGTTGTCAAAATGATTTTAATGAATTATTTTAATAGTCAAATTTCAAATCAATGTTTTTAAAATGATTTTTATAAGCATAAAAACGAATAAGGAGTAAAAATAATGAATTATATATCATAAGATCCCAATTAAAATCATTGGTTTTGATATATAGAATTGTTTAAAATCTATTTCATCTCTTAGAAATAAAGTTTCGATTTCATAAATTAGACGTCTTGTTATTACATGTTCATGTTTAGCAAAAGGGGATTTTTTTTCTTCACCCTCCTTTTTTTCTTCTAATGGAAAAGATAAGACTTAGAGCGGATTTATTAGAAATCTATCAATCAATTTTTTTTTCACATTTTCATTTTTTTTATCCTTCGCGCGATAATTCTTTTATGAATTATTTTCATGTTAGAAAAATTATCGATTAAAAATATGTTTTTATTTTTGTATTTTTGCACATTGATTTTTAAAAAATTATTTTAATATTCAAATCTCTTATTTTTTTTAAAAAAAAAAATTACAATTATAATGGTAAAAATAATGAATTATGTACCTTAAAATTACAACAGCTATCAAATAAATCAACCTAAATCTACTTTTCACTTATTAGAAAAAACTTTGATTTCACAAACTATACGTTATATTGTTGTTGTGTGTTTCTATTTTAGTAAAAGAGAAATTGTTTTCTTCACTCTCTTTTACTCTTCTAATAGGAAATATATAAATATATGAGAGCGGAGTTAATTAGAAAAGTTACTGATCGAAAAACTTTGCACGTATTTTTAATTTTATATTTTTGTACAATAGCTTTTTTTAGAATTTCTAGATAATGTTTTTTGATATTATCTTCAAATGAATTCAATCAATCCACATGCACAATTTATATATATATATATATATATAACAACAGAGTTAATTAGTAAACTTATTTATCGAAAAACTTTGCACGTATTTTTACTTTTATATTTTTGTATAATAATTTCTTTTAGAATTTGTAGGTAGCATTTTTTTATATTATATTCGATCAAATGAAATCAAATCCATTTTAAGCATATAAAGATCATGATATGTATTATTTTTTCCTTTAATTAATTTTATTAATACAAATTTAAATTAATCGCGATATAAATTTAGTATTGGAAGTGAACCCACGTTCGCACACGGTTTGTGACAAGAATTAACCAATGGGTCAGTATCAGATGGGGCCCAATAAAGTACTATTTCAAGTGGACCCACTTTGGAGCTTGAATCTAATGACGTGGCACTTCTATAACCCATTTAAAGTACTTTTTTGTTTTTGTTTTCTATTTTTAGAATTAACTTTAGGTACTATGTTAGTCTGTTAAAAAATAAAAAAGTGAGTACAATGGTGTTAATTAATTTTATTAATACAAATTCAAATTAATCGCGGTATAAATTTGCTAGATAATTAGAATTTTAAAATGTTAGAATTATAGCTTCTAATCATCTATTATACAATTATGTAATATTTAAGATTTGAGGATATACATCAACACGTTGAATGGGAACGATTATATTTTCGTGTAATATTTTTTTGTGAAGTTTTCTTTCATTGATTAAAAGTTATTTTTTTAGAATTAAAAAGCAAAAAAAAAAACAATAGTTTTACCTCGTAAAGAACAACTAAAAGTTAAAACAATTAGCTCGACTATTTGATCAAAAGAAAAAGAAATTTTTTTAAAAATGTTTTTCAATGCAAAATAATTATCTTTGTCGATTCATTTACTTTGACGTTTATTAAAATTAATTATTCAACTACATAGCTTCGTTATATTTTAGTGACGTGATGATAATATGATGTGACGTCAATATGTTATCTGTTGTATTTTCTTCTTTCACTTTTTCCACCTTTTATGTTTGTTTTATATTTTATATTAACAAAAAATAACTCATAGTACCTTTTTTCCTATATCAACTATAAAAAACTAGGTCATTTTAACAAATTTAGTAAGTATAAAATTATACAAAGAAGAAGAATAATGAATTGTATATCTTGAAACCGACACACATATTGTACGTTAATTTTGCTATCAAAATGATTACTTTAAATATGAACCTCTTGAAAATCATATATATATATATATATATATATATATATATATATATATAAAAGAAAACCTTATAATATTTTAAAAACATGATAACATAAGAATTTCTTTATAATATCGATATCATAAATTAAACTTACATATATACATTTTTTTTTTGTTTTTTTTTGGGGGGGGTGGGGGTGGGGGAATTAATGCATTAAAGCCAATACGAAAATTATCATTAAAATGAACATTACATTAAGAGGACATTACAATACAACAATCGAAAACCATACAAGTTTGAGAAAAAAAAAATGAAATGACAATTAGGATATTCTTGATTAAGGAATATTAATGGCACAATTATTGATGTTTTTAAGCTTAATTATATTAATTGCAGTAGTAATTATCATTAAGAGCAAACCAATAAAAGAAGCAATAATAGCTCCTTCACCATGGTTACAAAATGTATAAAATTTATCACAAATTTTATTCCATCTTGCATGAGAATTTCCATTCCTACCAAGTTGTCCCATAAATGCTGCTGAACTTGCTCCACCAGAGATTAATGCCACATTTATCTTTCATAATACAAGAGATTAATTAATAATATTAATTGAAAAAAAAGAGTAATTAATTAATTAATTAATTAATTACCATGTCTAGGATTCCAATTACATAAAATCGTAGTCCCTTGTAATCATATTTATTTCCAATAAAACAAAATGCTAGCATGAGGAGGTTATGGAGACTAACTAGTCCGTTTGCTATAACAAAGAACCTGCGTTCACAGAAAAATCGTTTTCAAATGTATATTTAAGAGAAAAAATAACGTTGAATTTTTTTTAATCGATAGATTAACAAAGCACATATATAAGACAAATAACATTTTTATACACTATGTGATTTCTTATTATTGGATTAAATCTTGGCTGAAATGATGAGAAAAGAAAAAATAGTATTTCATGTGTCTTATATTGATTGATCACTTTCCTTTTAACATGTATATTAAGAAATTAAAAATAAAAAGATAATTTTACTAATTCACCTCTTAAAAAAATTCTCGGAAATTTTACAGACAAAGGTGACACTTTTAAAAAAGAAGTAATTACAAGGGTAATTGGAAAAATTTAAGTAATACTTTCTTGATTTAGTAAAATAATCACCTGTATTTAGTAAAATGATCAACTAATATGTGGAGGGAGTAATGTTTTCATATGCAAAAAATTAGAATATTTTTTTTACTATTTCAGTGAGAATCTGTTTTCCACCATGCATTTTTCAACTAGCTGATTCAATGAGAAATCAATAGGAAAATAAGGTTC